CGTTTCAACATCTATATATAGTGGTTCCAATTCAAGAATCCTTCAAGGACGTCGACCAATTCCACAAGCGCACAAAAGAGTTCAATGAATAATAGTCAGCAAACAAACATCTCCCAATGAAAGGTGGTCGAGAACAACAAATTGCATGTTTGCGAAACCAATAAAGTCATGCTTGAAACAACGAGGCGGCCATCAAATTTTCTGCACCTCCCGCCTCCCTCACTGTCTGCTGGCAAAACCAAAGACAACTTTGGAAGGAAATGCAAAATTAATGGAATATTGCCAAGTAAAACACCTCCCACAACCGCCCAAAACTGCGCGTCAGCGCCCGAGCCTTTGATTTGCTAGCCCTCCCGGCAAGGCGTCCCCTGACGAACCACTGCACTGGAAAAATGTCGTCCATCCGTCGGAAGTTCGGAGATCTGCCAAGATCCCGTAAAATCCCTTATACTACCACCACCCTCCAACAGGTCACCACCTGCGACTTTTAAGTCTGCAAAAGCCACCAAAGGAGAGCTGTTGGAAGGTCCTGGTAGAAACGCTCTGTTTTCCGAAAATCCTCCAAATGTTTAAAGATGTTTAAAGCCTTTGCACCACTTCAGCAGCCCAACTGCTTCCCGTGGCGTGCTCCGAGCGTTCGCTGGGACATCGCTCCAACGAGCGCCCTACGTCCACCACAAACAGAACATCACTTGTCGCAGCGAGGATTTGGGGAGGGCGCGTGGCGCTCCGAACCTTGCTCACGGGAGACGCGGAGACGGTACCCAGCTGTGTCTACGAAGTCCGGCGTCGAATCCGAGGAGTCTTTGGAAACATGAGGAAACTGATCGAAGCTTTTACTCAATGACATTGACGATGGAGCTGATTCTTGCCAGGTTGACGTTGACAGTCTCAGACCCCTGGCCTGAAGGAATGTTTCCGGCACCTGAGGGCTCTTGCAAGCTGCAGCATGGAACTCTCATCCACTCCTATAATAACAAATATCCCAATGACAATATAAGACTGAGATGCTTTGGGAATGTCATGGGAATCCAAACCAACACAATAGATGTTAGTGGAAAAATAATCCATCATCTGGAACACTCTCTGCATAATATATCCAATGAATATGCGAACAAAAGGGACTGCAGCGCAGTCATGCGAATACACACCAAGATCGCTACCCCCCACTCTTTCATCTCAGGGTGCACGCTTTGCTTTTCCCCCGGCAAGCTCAGTGATCATTGTCTAAAGCAACCGATGTTGCCAGAAGCACAGAGCACGGAGAAAGCATCGTTTTTTTTGTTGTTGTCAAGTTGTGGTTGTTGGTCGTTGGCTCTCTGATTAGCTAGTATTCATGGCAATGGATTCTTTCAGAATTCAGTATAAATTCAGTAATCGCAAAAGAACAATATCTCAGCATGAATCCTGGTGTTGCAACAGGATCCTTTGGAGATGGCTCAACTTCTAATGCACCAAATTTGCTGACTCAGCACAAACCACAGCGATGCGCTTCAACGAACGCCCTGCGCTCAGCAAGCCGAGAACTGCAAAGGACCGCAGCCCAGCGATCGTCAGCACCAAAAAACACATCGACATCAATGTACCACATACATCCACATACCACTGACAATGAATCCATTGTGTACAACGTGCCTTTCCTGTGGACACTTGGGGTTCCCCCCCAAAAAATAATCTGTTTCACCTTGAACATCCTTCAACAGTTCCCGGCTGCATCACTCCCAGGCATTGCTCAAGGCCAAAAATGAAGCAATGCCTCAACAATGCCCGCTGAGACCTGGCGGCGGACGTTTCCTGGACACCCGCGGTGGGTGTTTCCGCACGCCCCGGATCCGGTGGCGATCGATCTGTCCGGAGAGCCAGAGACGAGAGCCCCACAGCAGTTGACTAGTAGTAAGGCCAGGAGCCCCTATTTCGTAGCGTCCGCCGATCGCTCCGTTCGTAGCGATGCCCGACATGTTCCGTTCGTAGCGATTGACCTAGGAGATGTTGGTGTTGTTTTTTTGTTCAAAGAGGTGCCCTAGTCGGACCGGGAGGGAATTTGGTTTGTCACCGTACAGGACCGGATTGTCCTTTCCAAGGGGCGCTGTCACTGGAAATATGTCGAGTGTTGGCTGGAGAATCAATAGGTGGCTAGCTTTAGTTGATACCACTCTTGGGAAAGATCTTGTTCAATCCAAGAGTCATACATGCTCTATTGATTCTCCTTGGTGCATCACGGACCCACGATGGTCATACCAATGGAACAGGGACCTCATTGGTCTGTTCCTGAACCGTTCCACCCCAATACCGAGTCGAATCAAGCCTCTTGGCTGGCATAAAGCATAGTGCTCCCATGCTGCGTCTTGAACCTAGTCGTCACCAACGGGTGCGCAAACACTTGAAACATGGAACACATGGAACGCTCCACCAGCTCCAGGGCTGGTGTTAAGCATCCAATGCCTTCCATCGGAACCACTGACCTCTAAAAATAAAGGTCGTTTTTGGAGAACCACGTTTTTCTTTGGCTGACCTCTCTTTTTAGGGTCGCCGGATATGGGATGTAAAAAACCGGGTTTTTGGCACATGGGAAGATATCCATCCTGAAGACTGAGGTCTCCTGCCTATCTTTGGCAACCGTACAGGCCATGAAGGACCAAAATGATAGAACATGTGGATCGAAAGGACGACCATAACATCACCAAGACGCATGTGGCACAACACTTCACTTTGTTGTTCACTTTCCATGAGTCAAAGAACAAAATATGATGAGCCGCAAGGCTATCCAAGAGCCACATGAAAGCATGCTGCTAGTGCAAAGTCATGGTCCCATACCTTCCATGCAAGGGAACCTCTTGGCAACCCGCCGCGGATTGTTTTCTTTTTTTCGGTGCTTGCTTTGCTGGCATCTTCAGTCGGGAAGCCTGGCCCGAATCAGGGAAGCATCGGGAGAAGTTTGGAAATTAAAGTACATAGATGGAATCATTGAAGCATAAAAAGCTAGGACATCTATCGGGGTGCATGGATGCAAGGATGAAGATGGATGCATGCCTACACCCATGTTTGGCACAAGCTGTGACATCTCAAGCCCGTTGTTCACATCGATCTCGTGTTGAAACCATGACTGTGCGAGCTGACATTCAGGGTATGTGGAGGACGTGGTTCAAAGAGCCTGCTGTGCGTGCCACAGGTGTTGACCATGGCTACTTGATTGTAACCCATGAAGAGGCCACTCTGACCACCAACACCAATGCCGTGAGGGCTTGCATAAAGGATTGTGTCCGCAACAAATTTGTCCTTGCTCCAACTCTAAGTGCAATTAGCACCGCTGAGAACTACAAGCTCTTTCACTTGAAGGATGCTGTCCGGGAGTTCTTTGATTACAGTTTAGAAAATGTGTGTTTTTGAAGTCCTTGTAATTCACCGCAGCATCTCGATCGATATTCAATGTAGTAGCAACATCTCACGATCAACTATACCACCAAAAGTACTTTGACCTCAGACCTCCTGAAACGCGTGAAACGCATCCAGTACCCCAGCCTCGGCAGCTAAGGGTGAAGAAGTTCCGCGACCATATGCACCTGGCTCCCAGCAAACCGAGAACGAAAATGGATGCTTGGAACCTGAAGTCCCTGTGCAGCTTCATTAAAATGAAGACCAGGAAGAAGCTTGCTTCTCGTGTCCCTTGGCTTTCAAGTAATGCTTCTTCCAGGTACTCTAGGTACAAGCCCCCCCGATGCAACTATCATATGGGGTCTTCATTGTGCTGTCTCAGAAGTCTATTTGGTGGATGTAAGGACCCTCACTTCTTGGAGCTCCAACGCATCCTGGATCCAACTCTCGAGGCAAATACGGTTTAAATGCTTCACAAAAAGTTTAATTGATAGAAGCATATATGAACTACTGCACGCATGCATAAATGAATTGTAAGTCGACTAGTTGATATAAGACTTGTTTATTTGCGATGTGTTTGCTGAAGTTGTAGTTGTTATGATGTCTAATCCACTCTCTCGAAGTCACAATGTTTGATGCTGTGTTAAACTAGATTGCATGTGCATGCATGTGTGGTTGTGTGAATTGTGTATTCTCAAATTTTTGGGGCTTGCAATAGGGTGTGGACAGATGTATTGAAACAATCACCCAGACATGATCACCTATGGTCTTTGTCGCAGGCTCCACCAAGCGTTACCGCTGCTATGGGTGCCGAGGAGGATGAGCCAGAGCCACCTTCTCAGGATGAGGACCAGGATGAGGACATGAATGATTCTCAGGAACAGGAAAAGGACATTGACGCTTTGCTTGACGAGATCTTGGCTGATGGTGATGATAATGACTCAGAGGCAGCAGCAGCTATGTTGCTTCATGATTTGGAGGGTGGGGGTGAGTTGCCTTCCAATGTGATTCCTGAATCACCACTGCCATATCTTGAAATGGAAATTCCGGAGCAAGAATCACAGCCACTTCATCCAGAATCGAGGCCACATGAACCTCAGTCCCCCGATGTGATTGAGTTGTTCGAAGATGACTGCGATGACAATGTGACGAAGAAGGGGGTGCCAGCAGATCGTCCTGTGGCCCGCCCACTGGTCAACCCGAAAGCCTTGGATTTTGATCCAGTTGAGGATGATGAATGCGTCATCACGAGTGCTCTGCCCAATCCTTCAGGTGGCTCACTGCCATCTAGCTCATCTAGCTCCATGACTTCCAAGCGCCAAGCCTTGGAATCTCTTCTGATGAGAATGCAGGAGCAGCTTGCAAAGATGGAAACTGATGATGTCCCTGCCAGGTTTTGTCCTCAGATTGTTCAGCATTTTTTGCAAGTCAACCCACTTTAGTTTAGAAAGATTGCACGCACGTGCTCTTGGCCCTCGTGCATGAAGTTGATGGAGGTTTCTTAATTTTCATGCATGTATAGTTCTCTTGAGCCTGCCTATGCCTGCACTTGTTGATTTGCAATGTGGATTGCATATGTTTCAATCCTGGAACCCTCCATTACTTACAATCGTGTTCCCGTGCACCAATGCTTTTTTGAAGACTTGAGGGGACTTAAGCCTTTGTTTCAGGTCAGCCCATCCAGTTGGAGATCAGAAAACTCCAGTTGAAGCTTCAGAGGTTTGGCAAGTGGCTGAGTCACTGCCATATGGTGGCGACAATGTTTGCACAGTTCCTATGGAACTTGAGGACGGTTGTGTTCCGGTGCATGTTGCCTTGCAGCTCAAGAGCGAGGATCAGAAGTTGCAGCCTCCGCCTTTAGTGAAGCCTACCTTGGCCTCAACTCCTGAAGCGCCTGCCACTCGTCTTTCTGGTGCATGTGCTGTGTTTGTGTGGCCGGGTATAGAAGCTAAAGCCAAAGCACATTACGCGCCTGCAAATTCATTTTGAATTGGTGCAATTTTTTATAAGATGTATCACTGATGTTGATCTCAACTGTTGTTTTTGGGTGGGCTAGCTTGCGCCTCATGCAGGTACTCACCCGACGGATGCAGTTGGGAGCTGGTGGGGGTGAAGTTCAGGAGAGCGGTGGCAAGTTGGAAGGACCTGCTCCGAAAGGCAAGGGGAAGGGGCGTGGACGAGGGCGAGGGCGAGGGAAATCTCTTGAAGGTCCTCCTCCTGATGCCGCAGCACCTACGATTGAAGTCAGAGCGCCGGTGGAACAATCGGCCAATGCACCACCTGAAGCACAGGCTTCAAGGCCAGCTGAGGCCCCAGCCCCAGTTGAAGCAGGGGCTCCACCCGCAGAACCGTCGCCCACACCAGCTGAACCATCGACTTCGAGGAAAAGGAAGGCTACTGCGAAGCCAAAGGCCAAGGCCAAAGCCAAGGCCGATGCCGCCCCGAAGCGCAAGGGTCGAAAGGTGCAGAGTGAACCTGTCAGTGCACCCAACAATGGTGGAGCTTCGGCGGCAGAGCCAGCAGAGCCTGTCGAGCCTCCTCACAATCCGGATGATCCAGTGCCTGCTTTGCCAGCTCCTGCACCTGAGGTGCCACCCATGCCTCAACCTGGTGGAGACCTGTCTCATATTCCCGCGAACAAGGTGCAAAGCATTCGTGAAGACATCGCGAACCTCCTCGCAGTGCCGGGCAGATGGGACTTTTTGCTCAAGCTTTTTGCAGCTATGTATGCAGAACCTACCCGGGCAACTCTTCCAAAGTTCACCCACTACACCTTGAGCGTCTACTGGGGAAAAGCACGGGTTGGCCTTGTTGAGAAGGCAGCCAAGAGGCATCTCCTCTCATTCAGCTCAAGTGGTTCAGGCCGGATTGGACTTCCATTGGAGGCTACATTGATGTATGTCAGGTTCTTAATTGTCTCTGTGCATGTGTGTGTACACGCATGTGTGAACGAGCTATTTTTATGGAGCTTTGGTAGTTGCTGTAGATGACTGCATTCATGATCATTACACCATGGGTGTGTGTTCGATCTCGCATTGTTCATGGGCTGTGCCACGCGGATCGTGCAGGTTCCACTGCATACATGAGTTAATTTCAAACACATATGATTGGCGCAATAGTTCATTTACCTCGTGTACAATTTATCCTAGCTGTTAACGCATTCCAATCAAGAACCTATAACTTAGAAACATCAAATGCCTTATGCTGCAAGTTGACTGAGGTGGCCCAATCTGGTGGTGATGTTGCCAACCAGGACCATGATTCAAGTGCAGAGTTCCGCGGCTTTCTTGCTGAAGCAATTCATGTGTGCGGAGACTTGTGGAAGTGGAAGGTGGCTCCACAGGATTTCACGGCTTGAGCAGCCAATTTGGCATTTTGTTTTGCATTCACCTCAGGGGTCATGTTTCAGAAACATTTTGAATGCAAATAAGCAATATGTGTAATTTTGTTGAGTTCACCTGTGAACTTTTGTTTTCAATCTTGGTGACCATACTGTGGTGATTTAGATTCTGAATGTGTGTGGAACAACACATTGAAGTGCTGCCGGGATAATAATATACGTGGGGAAATCCTCACGTTGATGCAGTACTGACTGCATCTGTGGCAACTAGATAATCGTATCTCAATTCGAAGCCGCTATCCATGACCTATGTGGTCCTAGAGCTAGAGCTTGTAAGGATCAGGCTGTTGCACGTGGTATTCATGAAGGGTGGCACTCTACTATAGCTAAAGTGAAATTGTTGATTTGGAAAAGACTTCTAATTGTTGTCGGGAACTGTCCTCTACCCATGTGCATTCATGCGGAGCATGTATATTTCAAGAATGATTTGGGCTATCCTGTTGTGTGCCACATAGTGTGCAATTGCCGGGGGTGCAAGCCACAAGTTAAGCTTGCTACGCACAAGCCATTGCCCGATCCATACGTCTTGGCGACAAGGATTTGAGAAAGGGATGTGAAAATAACAATGGTCAATTGTGCTGGGATCGTGTCTTTTTGTTAGCAGCGTTCTATGGCACGTGGCCCAACAAAGACTCACCACTTTTTGTTAACACAAAAAGGCACACGTGCACACACACACACACACATGCAACCTACGTGCAAAACAAACAGTGCCACACATCCTTCTGGGATCCCCTTCATGTCGATCGGAACTGCCACTCCCACTTGCCTTCCCAGGTCTCATGGCAGCATGGCTTTGAAGCGGAAAGCCTGGGCGCTGCGTTTGGGGAGTCAAATTGACCCGGAGGGTCGTCCTGGCCGATCTTGAGCCGTTTCAGAGCTGGGTACATGGTTTGAGAGAGTCCAGCAATCTCCAACTTTTGTTGCATGAAAGCGAACCATGATCCACAACCTGTTTTGGATGCTAGCAATTGTAAATCGAGATGGGGTTGCATGCCAAAACCAAGTATCAAATTTGATCGTCGGCTTGTATAGCAATGAAACGTTGCTGCCTGTGTGAATCATAGCTGAGCTTGAAAGGCGTATTCCAAACTCTGGATTTTAAGACCTACAGCAAGAGACTGAGAGATCCACCGTTTGGTGCTTTCTTGTGGCAGCAACTTGAGCTCCGTAGCCTTTGTTGTGACACCTGTCTTGGTGTGGCAGCAATGGCGGGTCGCCAGTGGTTTACTCTGGACCATGTGGTGTGGTCACTCACAAAGAGCAGAGCTCCTAAGGTGCACTCCTAGAAAAAGAACAATATGGGAGATGACAGGAGAAGCAGCAATAAATCTTGCAAACATACAAAACAGATTCCTGTCTCGACTTTGAACAATGTGTCGATCTATTCCGGAAAAACACGGGATGCAATCATCAAGAAGTGTACTACATGACAGCTGGTCTTGAGGGTTGACCAATTGACTTTGTGCAGCAGAAATGTCTTGACCATCCTTGGGATCACGTTAAATTAAAATAGATAGGTCGCTGCAGTCTTTTATCTTTTTCCTTTCCCCGGCACACCCAAAGGTAACCCAGTCCACCTGAGACTCCACACTTTCTTGGAGGTGCTGATCCTGGCGGTGCTTTTCCTCATGTGGTCGCAGAATGTCTTGGTTCTGCAGCAGGTGTCTTGTCCGTATTCCCAAGTCAATTGGTCCATGTAGGTGTGCGTGTATTGTACTGGCCTGTAGTGGAAGCAATATCAAACATGCTGAATTCTGCTAGTTTCAATATAGGGTATGGGATTTGGGGTTAGTCAGAAACTCAGACTGTGTGATCCAAGGACTTCACATTCTGCGAATTCTTCGCTGGCACTGGGGCTTGTTCCAGGGCAATGCGGGACGGTGGCTATGATGTGGCATCATTGGACATTGAATATTGGGATGCACCACACAAAAAACAGAATTTCATGGACATTCTCCAACCCGCTGGGATGGCGTTACTTGTCGGTGTTTCTTTATAGAACCCCCAATGAGCAGATTGGCTTCAAGAACAACATGACACAGTTCTGACCACAATGTGCGTTTGACACCATGGTTTTTACTTAAGGCTTGCCATCCTGACCATCTTGAACAGCAAGCCTGGGAACTTCGTGGTGCATCTGGGGGGTGGTCTGTTCCTCGTGGATTCCAGTTAATCAGGGCACTTCCAAGAGACAAAAAATGCCATCCTCTTGGGTGCCAAGATTTTGGATACATCCGTGATGCAAATATGATGGTTTCCAGGTGGCTAGGCTAAGCAGAACTGTGTAGCGCCATTGGTTCCAAGTATAACATCAATTGCAAGTTGACCTACACATTTTGACAAACACATGTGATGACCCTTCCCTGACACTGCATGTTTAAACCTGAAACTCGATACGTTTTCTCATGCCCACTGAAGACTGTTGAGTGATGTGCACCGTAGATTGACTTTCACCTTACCTTGCAAGCCCACTCCCGATTCCCACGAAGTCTCCTCCTCAGGATTGCCATCCTGATATGGCTCATCGAAGCCCTGGGAGGTGTGTGGTGCGTGGAGCAACCATCGCAATCGCTTCTGCGGTGGCACCCCAGGATGATGCAGATTTTTCAAACCTTCCAGGTTCCCTAGCTGATGTATAAAAACATATGTGCCACAAATTGCGACAAAGGTTGACGACAACTGGGACAATTGCCGCACACACATGTAAAGTGGAACACCAATCAATTCCTGAAATCCTTGTCGTTAATCAATGGGATTTGTTGGTGTTATAGCTAGCTTGCTGCTCTGAATCAAACACAATTATTTATACTTCCTGTGTTTGACTTCTTTGTTCTCCTACACAGGTACAACCCAAAGTTCATGAGAGATTTGAACCATCTAACTGGATGTGTTTTGGGAGTTTGGAGAGGAACTCCACTGTGGCCCTAGGTCTATGCCGCACGGTGGTGGATGGCGGCCTACGGTGGCAAAACTCCAAAACGGCATGTCATGTACAGTAACTCAAAGGCCATCGGCGCCTTTGATCTGGGGAAGCTGTGCTTTAATTACCAGGACCCAGAATACCAACGAAACCGCACCACGAAGGTTGTTGTCAAAACCAAAGATGGTGTGGAGAAGAAATCCTTTCAAGGCGTCAAGAAAAAGCTCAAAGCTTCACAGTTTCTTGCAAACAAATTAGGTCAATTTTTTTGTATCCTATGCATCCACCAAATGGTACTATAGCCATTGTTGCCTCGACTACATGTTGCCAACTACATTACTCATAACTGGTTTCATTCGACTCGGTGTGTGTCAACCCACACTTTTCCCTCAACATTGGACATTAAAGCGGCGCAATGTATACATGCATGTTTTGGGCCATACCTGTGTTCTCTCGGCCTTGGTTGGTGTTTATATGGTGGTGGAATGAAACATGTGCCAAGCACATACTGCAGACACGGTTACTGCCACATATAGCTTGATGTCAGGGGAATTGAAAAAGGGAAAACCATTCTGGACCACAGCCCTCAATTCTTACCCCTCCAGCTCACCGCGGCTTCGATCCCGTTCGATCCAAGGCACTACCCCATGAAGTTCGGCATGAAGTATATGCGGATCCTTCCCAGGCTGCGGAAGGCTTGCAGGGCAATTCCAGAGACATTGCCCAAGGAGTTTGACGCTTGGGATTTCTATCGCCGCGAAAATTTTGACGACATGTGGCATGATGCCGACATGATGTCTGTCTTGGAGTACCTGAAAGGTAACTACAATTTGGTGATCCCACCAGATTGGCGTCCCATCCTGCTGTCTTAGGGCAGGGTGAGTGGCAGGGTGTTCTTTCTGAGCTGGATTACTAGCTCAGATCTTTAGGCAATTCATGTCGGAGTGTATGACCCTGGATGTGTTGAACACTTTTGGAACATTTTTGATACCTTCCATAGTCACTAGGCGTATAACCAGGTTTTTTGATCCTAATGACCCGTAAAAAAATACGTACCCGTAAAAAAACCCGTGGATTTCCGTAAACGACCCATAAAAACCCGTAATTTTTTACGTATTTTTCCCGTAATCCGCCCGTAATTCCAACATCGGGTTTTTACAGAGTTGACCTTGTTTTGTCAGATAACAGGGCTTGCCAGGGGCTTCCGATTGCATTTGGAACTTAGATGCTGTCCAATCACTAAAGGTTGAAGGGTCTCAAGCACGTTGAAAAAGGTGTATGCGATGCTGGCTTTAAGTGTTGCTGCAAACATGGACTTGTGTGTTGACAGCAAATAGACTTGGAGTTTCCATCAGCGTCTCACACCTCTTGCAATGCTTGTTTCTCTTGCAGCACAGCACTTCGGTATAGTGATTGGCCCTGTTGACTCCTCTTGTCATGTCGTTCTCTCGTTTGCGCAGTGGTGTTTGGAGCTGTTCTGAGCTCCAAGAGGGCAACGAAGCTTTGCTTGCTGTCAAGAATGAAGAAGTCGCCACATCAGCTACCAAGACAGCCTTGCTCAGCAAGATGAAGGCGTGTTGCCTGTTTGTAGATGGCAGTTTCTTCCCATCCATATTCCATCGTGAAAAAGTGTTTGACCCTTGAAGGCTTTGCAGAAGGAGCTTGATGCGATGCATCATGAGGACACATGTGTGCATCAATTGAAATCCTTGTTGCACACCACAATTAATTCGACTAACATGTGCTTTGTAGGCACCGTTCCAACTCCACACACGCTGCCCCAGAATTCCCTCATTGGATCATGGTCCAGGAACACCCTGAAGAGGTTGAGAACGACACTTTACCAGCGTCTTGACACAAAGGTTTGGTGGATCTGTGTGGGCGCCTCTAAGTATTGGACTCTCATGCCTGTTCAGGGTGCACACTCCTTCCCAAAAATGCCTTCCCGCATCCTCATTGTACTCCCTGCAATGGGTGTTGACATACATGCACACGAGTATTGAGGTCATGTTGTGTGGTACAGTGATTGCAAGTTCAGGATATTATACTGCGAACGGATGGAAAGGTGTGCCCTGGCCCCGTTCTAGCTCTTAGGTCAACATGGAGCTCGCGCGCTAAAGCTCCTTTTTACCTGGTTGGGCACTTGAGCCAAAAGTATATGGCATGTACCTGTATAGCGACTATACTGGGACCCCATCCCTATTGACACCCCCCACATCCGTACTTCGACGGGGAAGGGAGATGAGTGGATGTAAAGATCGGAGAACGAACCACGTTCTCAAAAGTGCATTGGAGGTCAACCAGTATGTCCTATTGAACTGAATTAGCAAAATATCCTGCATTCGCTTGAAAGTCGGATCAAACAGGCAATGGAGCTACAAGCGGAAAACGTGCACCTACCTATGGTATCATGCGATTACCAACGGTGTGATACGTAATCCTATCTCACTCCCATGATGCCAAAACGGTCATCATGAATTACCCAAGATCCCTCAGTACATAAAGTACCGGCAGTGGTATGTCGGCATGACCCCAATGCTCAACCATTCGTGAGTTGTCGCATGTAGTCAGCGCCGACAAAGCCAATGTAGTCCTTGATGAGCTCAACGTTCCTTGGGTTTCCCGCTCGGATCTGGTCCTCGAAGAGCTTCAATTTCCTTTCCTGGACATCGGATACCTCTATGCCATAGTAGC